AAACTTGAACTGCTTTACATGCTCATATTCTAGATAAGCTCTTCCTTTTCCAAAGGCTCTATATTTGTCCATGAACTCTTGGTGAGGGAAGATATCGTCAGAAGCTCTCCAAGAGGTCCACCAGACATATGCCCAGTCAGGGTACGGGCCTTGAAAATCTTTGAAGAACCAAATGAACCATGAATGTCTAAAAACGGAATTTTGCAACAGGAAAACTCTATACCATGCATCTTGATAATCCCAATAATTGAATATTTTGAGTCTCTTATCAATAGGCTTAGTGATAAGTTTCGACTTGCTGGCGTTGCCCCAAGTCGATAGAGAGATAAACTTAATTATTGCTAGCTTGGAATAAGCTAGTTCAGTCTTATTCGGATCCCTAAAATAATGCTGAATTCGAGCAGATCCTGTGTGGAGAAGAATTTCTTCATAATATTTCTGATCCTTATTTTATCTGCGAACAGTGAAATGATGCCCATCTAGGATAGTGAGGGCAAGGTGTTGAAGGGCTCCTTCTGGGTTGACGTGTGGAGACAGCAGCAGCTTCTTCTCTTGAGATAGTGGTCACAAAATCTGATGAATTGAGCAAGTATTGGTTCCCTAATTAAAGGAGACATTAATGGGGACTGATTAGTCCTTGAGCTTGCTCTAATCTCATAATTAGATCTTGGATTGAACTCATTAGTCCTTTTGGGGCACCTGGAATTAGGACTTGGACCTCTGTCGGTTATCTTTAATTAGATAACCTTGTAAGAATTCCCTGGTCAAGAAATCTAGCAAAGCATTTTCAGATCCTTTAATATATTTAATCTCAAAACTTAAGACCGATAAAATAGCTTGCCATTTAGCAAAAATTTGTTTTGAAACTAGTAGTGCAGAGGACTATGTTGAGCATTTCCTTTTTGACAGTGGAATATTTTTTTTCTGGGTATCATTCCAGGTTCCTGAGGTGAATCGAATTATCTCATATTTTCCATCTCTCTTTTGCTTTAGGATTCCTCCATATCCTATTTCACTGGCATCAGTTTCTACCATCTTTGGAGATCCTAGATGAGGGATGTTAAGGCAAGGAAGGGTTTTTACCCTTTGTTTAATCCTTCTTACTGTTTGAGTGAGCTGTTCACTCCATTCCAGAGGATTCTTCTTCAGTCGTTTTTCGAGTAATTGACAGTCTTGGGCTATTCCTTATAGTAGTCTGCTACATAATTTAGACTGCCTAAGAATCTTTGAAGTTGAGTTTTATCTTTGATTTCATCAGGGAATTTATCAGCAAACTTTATTACTCTTTGGATGGGTGATATGGTTCCTTTAGATATCTGGAAACCTAAAAATCTGATTTCTGTTTGAAAGAGTTTCATTTTCTTGGCAGATGTTGCTAATCCGTTTTCTTTCATTACCCAGAAGAATATATTCAAGTCTTTCCAATGGGATTTTATAGAGGACGAGTAGATTAATACATCATCAATATATACTATTATGAATTGAGTATAATGAGTGAATATCTCATTCATAATTCTTTGAAATTCAGAAGGGGTGTTTTTTAGCCCAGAAGGCATTACGTTCCACTCATAGTGGCCAAAGGGCACTGTGAATGCAGTCTTATATCTATCCTTTTCTTCTATTATAATTTGCCAATATCCTAATTTTAGGTCGAATTTTGAGAATATCTCTGCGTCATATAGGCGGTTTATTAGGTCCTGCTTATTAGGAATAGGGTATCTAATCCACCTTGGAGCTTTGTTGAGGGGTTTATAATTTATAACGAGTCTTGATTTATAACGAGTCTTGGTACTCCTCTTTCTATTTCTGATGTGTTTTCTACATAGAAAGCAGGGCAGCTCCAAGGAGATTTGCTTGGTCTAATTAGACCCTTTTCTAGTAAATCTTGGATTTCTTTCTTATAGATTTCCAATAATCTGTTATTCATTTGAATTGGTCTAGCTTTTGTAGGAATCTTTGATTCTCTAAATTACCCAACAGCTAATTTATTAATTGTTGATCAATGTTTGTCATTTATAAGGAATTAGGGCCTAATCGAACTAAAACGAACCAAATTCGGTTAGGATCATTTCAGTTCTAAACTCTAGTTTGGTTCGGTTCAATTGGAAAAAATGGTCAAACTGAATAGTCAGTTAGGTCTTCGGTTCTAATCAAACCAAACCGAACTGATCAATTGTACACCCCTATCGACGACCGTTTTGGCAAACAACTGAAACAACAAGCAGTTTCCTCTTTGACCAGAAATGGCAATACCTTTTCAGATAGTATGGCAACAGACCTCCCTCCTCTCCGACCTCTCCAAATTAAGGGTTGATCAATTAAAAACCGAAAAGTTCTGAGAAAATCAATCAGAGAAATCATCAGAACAGGTTTCCACTAAATTTGTCGGAAACGACAAAGAGTTTATATACTCAGTAGAAGAAGTTAAATACCAAAAAGTAGTATTCAAGAATTACCATTAGAATCAAAGACAACAATCTCTCAGTAATAGCCTTAATAGACTCCGGTGCAGACATTAACTGCATTAAAGAAGGAATTGTGCCTTCTAGATATTTTGAGAAAACATCCCAACAAATTAAAGTCTACTTGTAGCCCATATCTGCAATCAAGGAACTTGTCTAAAGTCTACTTTCCTTATGGTAAAAGACCTAAGACAAGAAGTCATCTTGGGCACCCCATTCTTGTTATCCATCCTTCCTTGCCAAATTAATTCTTCGGGAATCACAACCACAATAGGAGAAATTTCGATAACTTATAAGTTCTGTCAAAAACCTAGAACTTCAACCATCAATACCTTGAAAGAGAATGTAAAAGGCAAAGTAAAGTTTACAGCAGAATTACAGACTGAAATAAAACCCATGTCAAACATTCTATCCGCTTCATCCATAACCAGATATGTAACTCTACAGAGATTTGTAATCTTTCCACTACTGGTGCAAAGAATATCTATCATCCTACCTGGAGTGCAGACAACAATCTCAGCCCCACGCTTTAATTCACTTGTTTGTTGGGCAACTCCAGAACCTCCATATACAGGCACACAATTAACACCCACCACCTTGGCAAACTTTTTGATATCACTGTGGATTTGCTGGACAAGCTCCCTTGTAGGTGCCATTAYAAGCCCAATAGGACCATCTCCAAGAACAACAGGTGGTTGGTCCTTGATATGCCTCAACATTGATAAAACAAAAGCCAAGGTTTTCCCTGAACCAGTCTTCGCAATTCCAATGCAGTCTCTACCACTCATAATTATTGGTAATGCTTGAGCTTGGATGGGCATAGGCTTTTCAAAGTTAAGCTTCTATATCATATCCAGTATTTTACTCATCAGACCAGTCTGGTTCCATGTTTTCACAGGCTTGGGCACATCCTTTCCATGTATCTTCAATTCTAGCTGCTTTCTGTAAGCAGCTACCTCCTCAGATGTCATCCTTGAAATCTCTTTCACTTCAATGTAGAAATTCTTCCTGAAAGGTGGATACTAGATCTTTAAGTGATCAACTAGCGTCAATTCCTCAGCTTTAGTCTTCTTCACCCTTTTCATGAATTCATCATCATCTTCATCTTCTAGTGGAGCTTCATCATTTTCAAGGTCACCATAATCTGAATCAGAATCCTCACCAGGAATTATTCTTCCAATGGATTTATTTATACCTTTTCTTGGTTGAACCCCAT